CCTGCTGCGCCTATTGTTCCCCGCGGGGGACCGAGGAATGCTCTGACTCGGGGTCCGCACCAGTACCCTCCCTTGTGATGTCTCCAGGTCCAGAGGATGGGTCGGGGCTTCCTTTGTGTGTTCTCTGCGGCCACTGGCACGGCGTCGTCACTGCCCCAAGGGAGCAGGGATGTTGGTGCCAGCTCCCTAGAGCACCGCTTGTCCGACCCCGTCCCCGCGTGGCCCTGGTGAAGGAGATAGGGAGGGCTATGGGATTTGTAGGGCGGCGCTGTGAACAATAGAGCCATTAGAAGGCCTTCTCCCATCTCCTCACAAGCCAGAGACGCTCTTCTCCCCACCTAGCCCAACAAGCCCTCCTGGCCTGGATTTAAGCCCTGATTCTCGGGCAAAAACATTCCATCTACCAGAGCTTTCCATGAATCCTGATTTAAACTAAGATCTCCTCCTCCCCTGGCCCTCACTAATATTAAAACCGCACTTCTTTTGTGCTTTTCCCATATCTTTTTCTTACATAAAAATGAGCCAGATAGCTATGGCAACTTGTTAAGTATATTTTGTTATGGGCTTTGAGTGTAACGCAGTGTCAAAATGCAACCTGGGTTTAATCCCCACAACCAATAAATGAAAAAAAATATATTTTGTCACAAAATCTAGACTAAGAGGACACATGTTCCTACCTCATAGATGTCCTGGGAACCCCTCACCCACCTCTGCTACTGCAAGGTACTGAACATTTGGCTACCTTGGCTCTTTCTTCATGTGTGGAAACCTTTTGTTTTTCTTCACACTGGATCTGTCTTAAAAATGGATCTTTGAACTTTACAACTTGCCAAGGTGGGTGTGAGACCTGAGAGAACTGTTTAAAAATAGGCTTCATGCCATTTATATAAGTTCATTTGACACCAACCTTGAACCCCACGAAATATGGACATTTGTAGCTAGAGTAGAAAACAAGGTTACAATAGAAATAAGGTTCCATCCTCCGGGATGACCTTTCTGTTCACCATCCTCCACAGCACCAGGAATGCAGTAAATGCAGGGGATTCATCTGCCCAGTCTTTCTCTCTCCATCTGGGCTTTCTCCAATTGAAATCTGAGAGCCAACACTCACAGATGGGAAGGACTGGGCTGTGGACAACCCAACCTCAGTTTCCTAAGTGTCTCACTGCGTCTAGGAATAGGTATGCTTACCAAGGCCCTAAATATATCCTCTGAGAAGTTGCTGTGCCCAGGAGTAATTGGGCTATAACTCTCTGGGGACTGGGGCTTTTTACCTTTCATCTTGCCTACTCATAAACTTCTCTTCTCTCCCTTTTTTTTTCTTTCAGTTCCTGAAAGAAGGATCAAATGCCAAGAACTCCCACATGAAGAGGACCTTCCTAGATCTGTAACTGGGATTAGCCACTTCTTGACTTCAGCAAGAAGTTTCAGCTAACTCTCAGGATACAGCCAAAACATGCCTGTGACTGTCCCCCACGTCAGGCAGAGGAGCACTTGTTACTAGAAAGAAAGCTTACTTCTTTGTTATTCAAACACACACCCACACACATCCTCTTCATCACTAATGAAAAGTCTCAACAGATGGAAAGCCTAAGCTCCCAAACCTGCAGGCTGAGATGATGCACTTCACTCAAGGGCACGTCAGCTGGTCCAGACTGGGGAAGGAGAAGGGAGAAGTAGCTAGTATAGGTAATCACTATCTCTTAATACTTCTTACAGATAGAAATTCGAAAAATCTTGTTCAGCAAGGTTAGCAGCCTCTGGAGCCTTGGAAACCAATTTGGCTGACGTGTCTCTGATAGGGACTGGGCTTCAGGCTGCACCAAGGGGAACATACTTGTTATGTATTCTCTTTTCTTCCTCTCATTTGAAATCCTGTACAAAGAAATGGTACAAATGGATGGTTAGCTTAATGGTTCCATCAGAGGTGGATTTTTCTCTGTCAGTTCCCTGGATGAGGCTGAGGTCTGAAAGCCAAAAAACAGAGTATGTTCCTAATCACTCTTTCTTACCTCCTTACCAATGGCCTGGAGAGTAATCCTGGCCACTTTCCTCTGCAACTTCCCCAAACTCCTGAATAGATCAGTAAGGTCTGGACACACCACTCCAAACTGAGTACTGATCCCCCCCCCACCCCGTGGTTGCAAGGAAAGCTCTCCCTCCACCTAAGTCTCTTCCTCCACTCCCATTGGTAACAAGCCTTTCCATCTGCTTCATTTCTACCCGGCCTTAATTTACACTTGATTGCCTGGACAGAACAACCAGGGAGCTCAAATGACTGCCACCCTTCATCTACACCCGTAGGCCTAGGCTTGTAGCCCTGATCTCTTCCGATCTCAAGAAATCCCACAACCTCCCTGACTCCACCTTTCTCAATACGTTCTCTACAGTCAAAAGCAGAGCTGGCCAAGACCTTAGCGAAACACACGTATCCTCCCCTTGGGCAAACGAGGTATACCCCCCAGAGGCCAATGCCCCGAGCAAACCCAACCCTTCCCCGCCTCCAGGCGTCGGCCAGCGCTGCTAACGTATGGCCTCCTTCGCAGCAGAACCTGTAGGGAAGCTGCGCTCATAATGGCGCGCCTGCTCCCCGCGGACGGAGCTGCTCAGGGCACCCTCAACACAGTGCTGGTCGGTGACGCCTCCAACAACCTCGATCCTTGGTGCGCTCCCCTTTGCTCCTAGTCCTCTCGTCTCTGGAGAGACAGGAACTGGGGTGGAGATTTCCTTCCCTGCCAACTTCCTCCTGCAGGTCCCGTTGCCGGTCCTCGGCAAGAGGAGAGGCCAGGGTCCAGGGCGCCATCGCCTGCCGAGCTCCCCTCCCCCACTATTCTTTCTTTGCTTTTGAGACCCGGGTGGGAGGAGGCAGGCGCCTCCGCGGATAGAGCAGCTATTGTGACCTTCCCTCTCAGAGCGGGAACCCAGCCGAGTGTGCACCGCCGGCGGTGGCGGGGGAGGAGGCTACTGTGTGCAAACCTGGGATGCAGAAAGGGTGGCACTGAGAAATGAATGAAGGTTTGCAACTCGGGCAATTGGGCCCTTCAGAGAGCGTACGGTTTTGTTTAGATTTGGGTCTTTCCTAACACTAATTGCAGGTTCAAGAGGAGCGGAATTTATGGCGAAGGCCAAGGCGGCTTGTTTATAATTTATGAAGTTTTAAATGGTTGTGCCGCGGGCCCAGCTCTCACCCGGGCGGGCGGCCGCATGGGAGCGCGCCCTCCCAGGACTCAACGCCTCCCCCAGCCGCTCGGAGCGACCGAGTGTTCCCCATCACATGACTCACACCAGGAACAGGAAAGGATGGAGTCTCAGGAACCTCTAGAGCCTGGAGATGGCCGCAGATTTAGTGCAAGGGAACCCCTGCACCCCCACCCCACATACTCAAAAGGAGGGCCTCGGGAGGCTGTGGCTGCCTGGAGAGGGAGCCCGTATGAACCCCGCACTTCCTTGGAGCTTGAGTATGAGAGGAAGCTGTTGTCAGCCCAGCTAGACACCTTTTAAAGTCTAATCCATGAAACCCTAAGCCACAGATGACGCTTGGGGCTTTGCAGACACCCGCAGACTCAGCAGATACTCCTGCGGTAACACACCGCGCTGGAAAACGCCTGGAGCCATGATGCATTATGTATTTTTATTATTATTTATGGTAGGAAGAGGAGATGAGGGAAAACCGGGCTGAATCTAAACAGCCTGACAATTCATCTATTTAATATTTAGCCAGTTAAGAAAGGTGGTTGTAATCCCTGCAAGGCAGCGAGCTTTTCTTTGATTTCCCTAATAGCTTAAAAAATAATTTCTTACAAGACAATTAGAAATTTTGCCTATGGATGCAAATTTCATATAAAACAATGTTAAATCTTGAAAATGGGTAAAATATGCCTTCGTTTGAAGTCATTTATTCTGTTGATACACTTCTACAACATATATACTTTAAACCCCGCTCAGATAAAGTGAAATTTAGCAAAAAGATATCCCCTCCCACCACAACCTAACATGCCATTTTAAAAACAGCACAAAGGAACAAAAAAACCTAAATATTTTGAACCATCATTACTTAGGGAAACACAAACATCCAAATAGAAACGATTGTTGTTCCACCAGAAGAAGTTAAATTATTTCCACACGATAGGAATTTCACCTCCTGTCACAGGGGATGTAGTAGGAGTTGCATTATTTGTCAAATCAAACAGAGATGCGTGGGCCGACTTTGCTGAAATACAAAAGAATTAAACCTTATCTGAATGCATTTTCCAAGTGCCCCCCTCCCATGGAATTGGGTGCAAGTTGTCTGTCCCTAGCTTGAGCCACGCTAATATTTACAAAAACGGTTATAAATCTTTGAAGACATTTTGCCCCTTTTGTACAAAGAAACAGGAGTAAACAAGGTGTTTATACGTGTTATGTTCCATTAATGAAACTTTTATTACTTTACATCGTGGAGAACATTTGTTTTTCTTTAGAAATGAACTACAAACTACCACAAAGGAAAATTTTATGACAACGCTTCCTAGAGAAAAAGCTTGGGTGCCTGTCTCCAAATGATCAGACTTTTCCCCCATGCACCTTAGCTTTTTCAAAGCACAATTCTTCTTACAACTTCTCTTGTATCTTGTCTTTGATTGTCAGTTTTCTTTCAAAGTTTATTTTTTATTACTTAATGCAGAAAAATGAGCTCTGGCCTCTCTAATGTAACATTAGATTGTATCTAGAAAGAAGGTGGTAGAAACAGCAAAGCAGGCTCTGCTTTAGCAAAACCCTATCCCAGTCATCCCACCCAGAACATTTCTAGGTTTGCATCCTCAGATCCCCCCACCATATCAATAGCTGGAATGAAATAATGGAGTACCTCCCAGACCAACTGGTGCAGCAGATTCCAAATTAATAGAATGATGTTTTTCAAAGGGTCAATCTTTCATAAAGCCTTCCACTGGGATTGTGTGAAAGATATAGGCAAAGTGATCTGCTTGCAAGTGTGTGTGATTAACACAGATACACTTCCAACCGAGAAAATTTTTTATTCTAAATATTTGTTCAAATAGTACCAGACAATTTGAAATCATTAAACTGTGTCGAGTGGTGAGGGCTGCGGCTGTTGAGAAATGACTAACGGGTGTCATGCCATGCCACTGGGCTGCCTGACTCTACCCATGAAGGACAATTTGTGGTCTTAATCCTTTACATCAACTACAAACATCAGCCACGGTTACAACTGTTCAAAACTACTCTCGCAACTAATTCAGACCAAGGGACTAAAGAGGTGAAATGTGGCCCCCATGGCCTGGGAGCGCGTTCCTAAGCTCGGCTGGAGAATTCTACAAATATACATATAAATACATTAAGACGAGGATAAATAATCAGGGAAACGAAATGACTCGCTTCAAATAATAAATACAGATCGTTTAGTCCGATGCAATCCTTACAGGATGGGAAGGAGCATATAAATTAAGGTCTCAGAAACTAAGCTAGACGCGGGCCAGGCCCAGGACTCTCCAGGCTCTAGTGCCTCTGCAGGGCGCGCCGCCGATGGGTCTCAGACTTACCTTCGGGGCACTATTACCAGATTAGAGTCCCTCGGTCCGCAGTATATGGCACTGTCAGGCTTGTGGGGGGAGTATTCTTGCGGCTGATTTATGGCGAGTCACCCAAAGGAGGACGCGCACGGAGGGGAGGCCGGGTCACCTATGCCTCTGGCCGCTGATGGCTGGGCCAGAGCGGGAAAGGGGGATCTCCGAACTGCCCCGCGGGCCCCACTCGCCACCCCTCCCCACCACCACCAAAGCAAAAGAGGTAATTGCGCCGCGAATTCGGGCCCACGGCGACCGCTACAGATGTGTCAGTTTGGGGGCCTCGGGCAGGCGTCCCTGAGACGAGTGGTGGGCGGAGAGATCTGTGTAGGTGGGATGAGGGTCGCATGGTCCATGGTGGTGGTTGCCAGGAATTTGCGCGGCACAACTGTAGTCCACGCTGGCCGAAGATGGGTGCGAGAGGTGACCCAGATTGAAGACCGGCCCGGACGCGGGCGCCATGGAGTCGACGAAGTTGCCTCCCACATACACTGGGCTGCCCTGCAGGTTGGCGCTGGCAAAGCCGCCGCCGTTGCTCGCCATGGGGTGGGGCTCGAACTCGGGCGCAGCGTAGCGCTTCTGCTGTGGCAGGCAGCTGCTGAGAGGCGCCGTGTAGGCGGCCAGGCCATACATGTTGGGCTGCGATTTGGCGAAAGCGGGCGGGGAGGGTGCGTCGTAGGCCAGGCCAGGCACCGGCGGCAGCTGGCCAGAGTATGCCACATGGCCCGCGGCGCCGCCGAGCGGCGGGCTGCGCTCTGGGGACTGGCCGGCTGGCGAGTGCAGGATGCCCTTGGCCTTCTGGTCCTTCTTGTACTTCATGCGCCTGTTCTGGAACCAGATCTTGATCTGGCGTTCGGTGAGATTCAGCAGGTTGGCCATCTCCACGCGACGCGGCCGACACAAGTAGCGGTTGAAGTGGAATTCCTTTTCCAACTCCACCAGCTGAGCACTAGTATATGCCGTGCGCACCCGCTTGGACGCTGGGCCCGGCGGGCTCTTGTCCTCGCAGCTCTCTCCTAGACAAGGGAGGGAAAGAGAGTGGGCGCTGAGCGAGGGGATAAGAACCCTTAGGAATGGAGAGGGGTGCTTCCCTGGCTTCATTTTCCTCCACTACTTCCTTCACTTCCAATCCTGGGGCGAATAAAGGGCTGTGAGATTCCGAGGGGGAACTCGCTTTTCCGCACCCCAGGCCTACCTATTAGTCGCACCTGAAACCTCCATCCGCCTTCTGACGTCCTATTCACTGTGCCCTCCCTTCCCACTCCATCCTAACCCATCATCTCATCTCCACCCAAAGGCCATGAAGGACTTTAATGAGAGATTAGGAGCAGCTGGTAAGGCCTCCCCCGTGCTGAAGAAAGGCCAGACTTCTTTGAACACTCCTCCCACCCTCTGCTGCTCCTGGGGGTGGGGGGATCTCCAGCCTGCCTTGCTTAGAGGCTGGCTCCTGGGCAAAGCACCCTGCAGGAGTAAATAATGGGAGTGGGATCTTAATACCTCACTGTATCCCAGCTGCACCCAGAGATAAGGAGGTGATAATCCCACCCCCAAAAGTACTAACATACTGCCCCGGAGTTTTAGAGGTCCCAAGACCAGGCTGGAAGCATTTTGATCATGGCAGTGCTAGGTGCAGTGCCTGGACACTGGCTTCCACCACCCCTGCCACCTCTCAGCTGCTTGTCTACTCCCTCACTGGGAAGACAAATGGATTTCTCCTGGGAGGGAGGGCCTGAGCCTGAGCCTGAGCTGAGGAGGGAGGAGCAGAAGAAGAAGCTTACAGGCAGGAAGACACCTTCCCCCTAGCAGTAGCAGCCCTAGGGAGCAGGAGACCAACCAGAGACCTGATAACAAGCCACATCCCAGGGTTCAAACTAGCCCAGGACCTGGAAGCATGTTCATCTATCTAAAAATAAACCCTGTTAGAGAACACAAGGCCATAACATTTCAGGAACCAATCAGTCTGAGCAGAGAAAAGGAGCAGGTGTCAGAACTCCTGGCCATGCCCATCTTCTACATGCCCTGGATGGACCTAGAGAAAACCTTCTCAGTTCCAGGGTCTTCCCTTTTAAGGAGTGAAATCCAAGGCTGCTCCTGTTTCCCAGAATATCCTCTCCCCCTAGGACATGAGCTTCCTCATTATGGATTTGCTGGAATAGGATAATTGGGCTGGGATAAGCCAAGTAGAGTCTCTTGGCTTTGCCTTATAGGCCTAGAAATCAAGTGGATTCAAATCCACTGCTTTACAGTTTTGTGGTCTTGGGCAAGTTGCATTTTGTCTAATGATTTCTTTATCTATAAAATGAGAATGTTATCACATACCTACCCTCAAAGTATTCTTTGAAAAAATTAGAGAATGCTTGCAAAGTTCTTGGTGTGGTTCTTAATACTCCTTAGACATTAACTCATGTTAATTTAAAGGAGTAGGATTCATAGGATATGGTCTACATAAACACCTGGACTTAGGAATCATATTACCTGTCTACAATTTTTAATTTTATTTTCTTCCTTCCTTCCTTCCTTCCTTTTTTTTTTTTTTTTTTTTTTTTTTTTTTTGTACCAGGGATTGGACACAGGAGTACATAACCCCTGATCCACATTACCAACCCTTTTAATTTTGAGGCAGATCTTGCTAAGTTGCTGAGGCTGGCTTTGAACTCTCAATCCTCCTGCCTCATTCTCTCAAATGGGATTACAGTGCCACCATGCTCAGCCCTTCCTTTCTTTTAAAATTGAGGCAGGGTCTCACTGTTGCCCAGGCTGGCCTCAAACTCCTGGGCTTAAGTGATTCTCCTGCCTCAGCCTCCCCAGTAGCTGGAACCTCAGGCAGGTGCCACTGCACCAGGCTCTGTCTTCAAAATTTAAAGAGATGTTGGATGGAAGTGGGTGGGAGCTGAGTTATAACCAGAAGCTCAGGAAAGCAGATAATTTGTCAGTATAAGAAAAAGCTCTTATTAATAAATATGAGACCTGTTCAGCAATGGCACTAGCAGCCCAGAGTGGAAGTGAGCACCTTGTCACTGCAAGGGTATGATCCCAATCATAAACATTAAAAGGAGTAGGATTTTGGACCTTGACCTCCATGGTTGCACTTAAAAGTCCTGAGTCTCCTGGTTCCTGAGTGACTGGGGCTTCCTGGGGCCATTCTACAGGGGACCTGGTCTAGGGGTGGTCCCCTCAGAGAGCTACCTGCAGTGGCACAGCTGTTCTTCTGCTTGGAGTTCTGTCGAGACTCTTTCATCCAGGGGAAGATCTGCTTGCTGATGGTGGCTGAGGAACTAGAAGCATTGGGCCCACCCTTGGCCTTCTTAGCAGGAACTCCTCCTCCAGGATTGGTGGGTGAGGAAGGGGGCAGGGTGGGTGGTGGAGGTGGGGGCTGTGGGGGCTGCTGCTCTGAGTTCAGACCAGGAGGCTGGCTGCCACCACCCCCACTCTGGCTGTTCCCAGTGCCAGGTCTCATGCAGCTGCCATTGAGTTCAGCCCCCTTGTGGCCTGGGCCTCGAAGAGGTGCAGAGTTCTGGATGGAGCAGGCAGAACCTGGATAATCAGTGTCCAGGGAGTTGGCAGCAGTAGGGGGTGGATAGGGCTGATGAGGGTTGCTGTAGCCATAAGTATCAGTGGCTTTGCTGTAGCCATAGCTGCTGAAGAGTCCTGGGTTTTCATAGTATGCAGCCTTCTGCATGGTGCACTCCAGAAGCTCCAGGGCCTGCTGACCCTGCTCAAATAACATTGACTACCACTGTGTCCTTGGCCACCACCTCCAGTGTCTGCTGAATCCTGAGAGAGCTGGGCCAGGCCCCGAACTCCAGGTGACCTGACAAGAAGAAAAGTGAGAGGGCCCAGAGGAACTGTCATTGGCAAGACCAGTCAATATAGAAGGACTAGCCCAGGTTCTCTGCCTCCTACCCACTTTGTGTTGGAGGAATGGGTAAGGTTCTAAATCTGGGATTTACTTATTTGAGCCCTGGAAAAGTCTAAAGGAATTTCACCTAAATGTAAGAAAAGACCTTTTCTTCCCTTTAGTTCAACTCTAATCTAGGGAAGGGGCTTCCTCCCACCCCCAGATACAATTTTCTTTCTTCAACACTGTCAATTCAGGGGCTGGAGTTGTGGCTCAATTCAGCCTTTGAGCCTTCATGAAAATAAACCTATGGCCTCATACATTTTACTACCTCATTTGAACCCCTAAATTGTGAGCTTCTTGCAGGCAGGGACTGTGTCTCATTTATCTATGTAGTTATAACATCATCTCAATGCCTTGCATATGCTAACTGCAATAGATGCTTGTTGAATGAATGAGTGAATGAATGGGTAAATCAATCAGTCATTGGGTAATCTCTCTCTTTGTATGTTTGGTGCTAGGGATTAAACCCAGGGCCTCCTGCATGCTAAACAGGGCCCAACCACCAAACTACACCCCTAACCCATAATCCTAGTGTTTTAATGCACAAAAGAAGCCCTACAACACACTCAGAACTGTCAAAACCCTCCCCCAAAGTATGTTACCCACCTAGTTTCAAAATCACCACATCTTTCATGAAGACGCAGATAATTCACTTTTTAATGACAGGGTGAGAATTCGCTCAATTAATTCTGTGGGTCAGCTCTGTGAGATCTACAATGCAGAAAGCTAGAAGATAAAAACCAAGAAGAGCACTTAAAGATTCCCAGACTTATTTTGAGGTTAAAAAACATTTATTTCCTTTTATCTACATTTTTCTAGACCTGGTACAGTATGTTCCTACTACTTTTAAAGGGACACCATGGAAATGGTTAAAGGGTTTTAGAATTTTAAATGGATGTAGCATGGGTAAATGGAGAATAATTTATATTATAACTTTATCATATTTACCCTGGATCTATTCTATAAATAGATATAATTGACCTCTGCTCTGGATTATCTATTCCACCTACTTTCCACCCAGTCCACAACCAATAAGAGAACCTGTCATGGCATAATTGAATGGACCCAGGATTAGAAGAAGAAGAAGAAAAAGGGAAAACACAAAACAAGAAAAAGTCTACCCCTTTTGTATCCCCTGACTTTTGATGGGAGATTTCTCTCCTAGATCCCCCCTCCCTTCTTCTTGAAAGACCCCTGAGGAGTTAAAGTATAACTAATACCATTCAAATACTTTTGTCTGTTTGATAAAGAAAACTCACAGGTCAGCTCCCTGGTCTTAATTCTTGATCTCATCCTTCAGACAACTTTCCAGAAACTCCCCCTGGTTTCATCATGATAGACCACATTCTGGAGACAGCTTATGTGGCTGAAGTGATTTGACCATATTACCACTTCTCCATGCACTCATTTTCCATCCACTTTCACCAAAAAGCCTAACCAATTTGAAAAGTTCTTCAAATTAGCTGTTTTAAGTAGTATTGTCCCCCATTTTGTTTTAGAATCTAAATGAATGTGCCATTTGTCTTGATGTGAGACAAGATTTTTCTCAATGGGATTCTAAAACACTAAGACATAACTGTTGTAGGAATTGTTTCCATTAGTGTTTGTAAATATACACAGTTAGGCTATCTATTTAACAAAGCTAGATTTAATTCTTTTGATGAATTTTCTTAGTCTCTGACTGTTAAAGTTACTGAATATCAAATGGATGCTAACTCCTCATCCTGTGACTAATATTTTCATGTGTTTTCCCCCAGGGCCAAAAGACTAGACTGGTTACATGTCAGGACTTTCCTAGGATGCTGCTTCCAGTCTTAACTCTCTGGAAGTCTAAATGGTCACATCAGACACCACCAGAACTTGTTACTGCTTCTGTCATTCCACTGACAACTTTGGAACCAAAACATCCCCCTCCTACCTCCCAACTTGACCAAGTTTGCCTTAATACATGGAGCAGTCACATCAAAATAGCTTATTTATGAACTGAGCAGGTCTATGGATAGGTAACTGTGTTCATATTTCTTCCTGTAACATATGCCTGGAGAAAACTCTGTGTACAGACCTCAAAAGTACAAGCCCTGGGTAGCTTCCTGAGTAACCATAGTCTGTTCTTCTGCCTGTTTGCATGATCCACTACCTTACGTCCATGTCCATTTCCCCATAAGGGCACAAGTTGTGCTGTTCTCACTGGGAAAAGACTATTCAGTGTCCCAAAGAACTCCCCTCTCCTAAAGCAAAACCTGAGATTATTGTTATGAAACTGGTTGAAGGGCTTATTTCTTTCCAGAAATCACTACTCCTTGTGAACTCTGCTTGAACCTAAAAAGCAGGAACGGGTCATAAATCACTTGGACAATGGTCAACTGTTCAGTGGCTCATCTTTTCCATCACCCACCCCCAGCCCTTTTTTAAAGGCTTTCTTTTCTCGCCCTTTGGTACCTTTGCTCATTTGGGATCCAAGACCCAAATGCCTTGGGGGTAAAGACAAGCCCCTGGGGGGAGGGGTGGATGAACCGGGATTGGTATTTTTCCCAAAGTCCTCAGTTATCCTTTCCTCTCCCTCTTCCTCCTCCTTCTCTCTCCACCCCTCCCCCAGCCCAAGGAATGGGACGTAGCAGTCGCCCCAATCCCTTCCCGCTCAATCCCCTGTCCCTGTTGGGGAAGAATGCCAAATGGGTTTGGCTAGTCCTTTCTCCAGGTCCCTGGAAATTGCTCAATTCAGTTGAGAGACCTAACCGCAGGCCCGGAACCCAGGGCCAAACCGTCTCCAGCCAGAAGAATGGCGTCTTCAAAGCCACCATCACCCGCTCCCTGGCCGCGCTGTCCTGCAGTTTCCGCCGCTATTCCGAAGCAGTAGAGCCCCGATACTTGCTCACTGCACTTAATTCTGCCCAGGATCAATACCTAATATGATACCGAATAAATAAAAGGCGCTCACAGCGGCCAGGGGACGGGGTTATTAAGCAGCTGGAGCTCTCACGGTGCATATCAATGCACCTGTCATTGTGGTTTGTAACAAAATTTATGACTGCGACCACGGCGGCAGTAAACGCTTCAGTAAGGAATGAAAAGAAAAACACTTCCCAAGGCCGGACACTTTTCAGAAGTGGAAAGCAGGCTCCGCGTAGGAGGCAGCGCAGCAAAAGAATTCCCTACTCCGCACTTTTCCCGCTCATGCATCCTACGAGCAGCGGGATTATATAAAGTAGCCGGCGCCAGCCTCTGCGAGGAGCTCTGCTCCTCGGCCGGAGTCGGGATGGGACGCGCAGCTTCGCAGAGGACCAAAGACCTGCTGCCCGCCATGGCCTCGGACACCGGGAGGCACCACCGACACGCAGAGGCCTGCTGGCGATCGCTCGCCCGCGGTGGCCGCGGGAAGGCAGGGGGAGGAGGAGGTTTGAGAAGGGAGGGGATGACATACAGTCGCCAGTTTTGTCTCCTGTTGCAACCTAGTAAATTCGGACGGGTACACTCAATCTGTGCAAGCCGAAAGAGAAGGAGGAGGTGATGGTGTGCTGGTTGAGTCAGTTTCTCTCAAAATTCTTTAAGGTTCGAGTTGGCCTCCGGCTTCTCTCCCTGCTCTGCCTATCCCAGGGCCTCAGAAGCCCGCGGATCTCTTTCTGACAGCCAGTACTCTTGATGGACATCCCTGTTAAATTCACTGGAACCGAGCAACGATTCTCCTCTCCCCGATGGCCTGGCCACTTCAGGTTTTTCGAAACCACTCCTTTTCAGGTTTGCTCAGAAGGGGGTTTGTTTATGTTTTGTCCAAGTTCTCCCTCTCTTTCAGCCCAAGCCTCTTCTGTACTATGGAATGCACATTCTAAATCACTCTTATATAGCCCAGATAACTTAATACTGTACTATAACCTGCATTTAAGGCACTGTGCTCACCCCATTAAAGTGCCATAAATTTGAAGGCGGATGATCAGTTATCATGTAACAGGCGACAGTTCACACTGAGGTGATCCACTTCAAAGCTGCCCTTTGTTTTATGTCTTGATGTATGAATCCTGAGATGGCTACTTGAGTTGTAGGACAAATGAAAATGTAGTGGAAATTATTTTTAAAAATCATCCCCACTCACCACAAATTTGTATGTGTGTTTTCTTGAATTTTGTTTCTAACTCTTTTTGTAGGCTCTTCAGTTTCTTTTGATATTCTGTGGAGGCAGATCTGGAACAAAATGGAAAACTCAATAGCAGCCGTTTCTTTCTTAGAAACACGCGGAGAAGCTTTACCCCCTTTAAGAGTGCCATAATCAATGTGACTATTGTATGTGGTGCCTGCAGCCATTCCTGAAGCCTTTTCCCCAGCAGAAAGAAGACTCAGTTGGCTCCTGGGGAGCTAGAGGCCTTAAACACCAAAGTCCTTGGCTGAATGGGGGACAGCTTGGACCTGAGGAAAGTGCCAGGCTGTCTGTCAGGGGGTGACCCTAGTGGGTCAGAGGTGTGCCATGGAGTGGTGGGGGAAGCAGTCAGCTCTCCTCCTGCCCCCACCAAGCTAAATGCTCCTGCTTCCAAACCCAGAGACCAAGCCAACCCTCTAAGGAGCAGAAGACGACTGTGCAGAATCATGGAGGGAGAGAGCCAGGCGACAGCTTAGGACAGCAGGAAAGGAGAGTAATTATGTAGATGTATCTGGGAGCATCCTAGTCAGGGGCTACACTGTTGAGAAGGAGTTGCACACTGTTTCCCAATTTTTACATTTTAACTTTATCTTAAATGGTTTTCCAGACATTTTTCCAGTAAGTACCCACCACATGCTTGGTCTGGGCTGCTCACTCCAGTGTTGGGATTAGGCTGCAAACCACCAAAGATACAAACATCCTTTCCACCTACACTCTCAACACAAGAACAGTCTAACCACCACCGCCGCTGCTCAGCGGGTGTTGGCCCCCTGTCAGGTGAAAGGAGAGAGACTCGATCTCCCTCTTGCATCTGCCCTGTGCAATTTGTCGACTCAGTAGTTTGCAAACACTAAACTGCACCCGGGAAAGCCCCCACACAAAGCGTTCAGGGCGCTCTAAAGACCAGAGCGCGCAGCCATAAGCCTTTGAAGTGACCTTTGGCTCGCACCGCAATAACTCACCCCTTAATGAACACCCAACGGAAGCGCCTCGGAGAGATCCCAGCCCGGTAGGACTCCTAACTTCACGCCCCGGCTTCAGCTTCCCAGACGACCCGGGCCCAAGGGCACAAGTCACTGGATCGCTCCCCACCCCCAGGTGGTTCGGCTGGGCCAGGCCCTGAGGTCGCCGAGGCAGAGGTGCAAAGTATCAGGGCTCTCAAGCCCGCGGGTCCTGGAGCCGCTTTATATAATACATTCACGTGGGCGGACGTCAACTCTCGACGCTTGATTATTTTTTATTTATTTTTGAAAAAAGGGTTCTTTAGAAGTAGGAGCGTCCCCTCAGAAGAGCTAAGTTGGGAGGCCACCTAGGGCGGTGATCCCCCTGCGCCTCTAGCTAGATTTTGTTTTCCAGCTGCAGTGGAACAGGGTAAGTTTGCGCCTGGGTGTTGGGGGATGCGCCGGTATGCTCTGAGCTCCGAGCGCAGAAGGTTTGGGAAGGGGAAGGGAAAGAGGACCCTAAGTTAGTCAAAGTTGAGCTTCCAGACGAACCCCCAGCGCCTTCTTCAGCGCTTCTTCCCATGCCCACTTACCACCCAGCGTTGACCCAACTTTGGCTTCTGTCGTGCCCCAAATCCCGAGCTTAACCCAGCTGGCTCTGGGCCACCAGTTGTAATACCTTTTTCATAGCCAGAAACTTGGAGAACGGGAGGGAGCCCTGTCCTCCAGTTGTCAACCAAAAGCTAGCTCCAGGCAACCCCGGGCTCCATAACCCCACCCCCCAGCAGCACCCCGGGGAAAACACTTTAGGATAGGGCCAGCGTGGAGCCTTGGTGGGGATTATTGAAATTTTCGGGGAAGTTATAAGTGAGTGCTCCATGGGGCCAAATGAAATGCTGCTCGCAGTAATTGGATTCAGCTGACTAAGCTGGCAGGCGCGCAGCTCCAAGGCAGTGAACGAAGAAAAATGTTCACCGACTTTAAGTTCTGATGGAGCCAAGCTCAAGCAATTGACAAAACAACTTTACTGCTCTCTTTTGATGGTGAGGCTCCTGGAAATCAGTCCTCCCAATGGGGCCTGTCCCAAAATAGGCTTTGGGAGTGCTCCTAGCTTTGGGGGTCCCTTCCCCTTAAGGTTCAGTCTGGTTTGGCCCAGTGGCCTTCTCTTGAGTACACAGCAACTCACTGGATCTCATGAAGCAACTCAGTCTGGCCTTAACAGGGTAAGACCTGGGATGGGTTGTCCTGTCCTCCCCCAGCAAGAAGCCTCAAGGAACAAGTAAACAAAAGGATAGGTGGGATGCGGGAATCAGTACATGATTTAGCTTTCACTCGGGGTTCCTTGGGGAAAAGGACCCAGAAACACTAAACCTTTTCTCTTCCACTGTTGCAGTCAAACCCCTAGATTGGTGAGAAGGAGAGTGGAGAAGCCTCCCAAACTCTTTAGGGTAGTTTGGGGGTTCTTTCAAATTTGCAGGGAGAAGGTTGGGAGCATTTTACTCCCAAGGGGGAAAATACTAAGCCAACAGCAAGAGGCAAAGAATGAGTGTGTGGAGCTGGATTCCAGAACAATGCAGGGAGCTGGCTGGCTGGCCACTGAGTTTATTTTAAATACATATAAATCAACCCGCCTGCACCCAGCCCGGCAGCCCAAGACACAGAATTAATATGATGCTCCATCTTACTTTGGCAGTGACAGTGTAAAAAAAAAAAAAAAAAAAAAAGTTTCTTTTTATACATTTCATTTTCAGCTCATTCTCATAACTGCATGTTACCTTCAAAATACTAACTCCGGCCCCCAACCCCCTCACAGAAACCCCTCCTCAAATTGCCTCCACAACCCCCAGTACTGCCAGCCACCCTCCAAGCCTGGCAAGGTAGTGTCCTCCTAACCTTTTGGTAGGCGGGGAACGTCCCCACAAAGCTCACCTCCTTACGATTAATCACAGTCCTCGATGTATATGTAGAAGTGTATCTAGGTCTACGCAGGCTGCCTCACCAATTGGCAATAATCAAGATCACAGATTACACAGAATAAATCATATTTAGTATCCCGCTCAGGGCAGCAAGCAGCCCCGTGCCCAAAGATTTCCATTTTGTCATGCAATTGCTTACCTGTATCCCAATTTATCATAAACCTGGTGTCCTCGGCCTCAGACTGGGCGCCAGTGGGGGGCAGAGCTAGCCTTCCCCCTTTGTCTGCAGACAACACTGTCCCAACCCTCCTCTTGCGCTCTCGCAGACGCGGCCATATACCCGAGCTCACGGAATTCCCGGTAGAACGGAACCAGTCTGAGGTTCAACTACCAATAAACGCAGGAGGAACGAGTTCGCAGTCCCCGAGCTGGCTTCGCCTGCGCTGCGCTCCGGTCGGTCCACCCACCCGCCGGTCAGCTCTCGGGCCCAAGCGGTGGCCACTCGCACCCCCACCCACTCCTAGGTTCCTGCCCAGCCCTCCCAGGCCCCCCAGAGCTCAGGGTTTGTTTTGCTTTCGGAACGTAGTCCTTTCTGGATTTGGAGAGAGCCCCGGAAACCCCCTCATAGTCGGGAAATACAGACGCTGCCTTCAAATGTGAGCATATTTGTTCACGTGACCCCAAGGGAAGATTGTACTGATTGAGGCTGAAACTTTCACGCCATCCAGCCCCGGAGCGCAGCCAGGCCTGGGGGGATAGGAGGAGGGGCGCAGGAGGCGTGGGACACGGGCTTCTTCTTAACGGCAGACTCGAGTGGGTGTGGGACGAAGGGAAAGTCTCTCTCTCTCAGGTTGGGGCTTACCCGGCCACAGCCTGGCTGCATGCAATGGGATGGGAACTTGATAGTCTCCCCTCAACGACAAATGACCCTGGCTCGGCGTTCCGCCAGACTAGTTCGGGGGTTGGAAATTTAAAAAAAAAAAAAAAAAAAAAATTATCTTCCTTAGAGGCATCTATGGAAAGGGCTGTGAAGCAGCATTAATTTAGGGTTCCCTTAGCTCCCCGGTCGCCTTGCCCGGTATTTGGTATTCGGTATCCAAATGCACCGGGGCAAGACTCTCTCCCGTCGCCTAGGAGGACGCTTGGATCTTCCCAATGCCTTGGTGAGGCACTGAAGTTGTGGCACAGCACAGGCTGTGGGATTCGGTGGCTCTCATCCCTGGCCGGTCACCCCGGGGAACCTTGCTACCAGCACTATTCCCTGGGGCCTTGGCTGCTTCCGCGGACTCCGCAGGCAAACCACCACTTCGGAGACAGAAAAGTCCCCTAGCAGCTGGCCAGGACCCTCTCTGAACCTTGAGCACCCCACCCGGGTCCTTCGAGGCCTGGAGTTGCCTAGGCGCTGAGCCGCAGCCCGCGGTGACCTGTATACATCTCCAGATCTGAGCAAGGCCTACGGATCCCTCAGGCCCAGCGACAGCCAGGCCGCGACTTCCCCGCTTCCTGCGGTGCCTCCGGGAAGGCAAGAGGGTTTGCGGAATTAGTCCCTGCTGGGCTTACCTGGGGGACAAGGAAACTTCTATTTTATAAATATTAAATCATAACAGAATCCCACCACGCTCCAAGAGGTTGGGTGGGATTCACCGTACCCATTCTGATTGTAGAAAGAAGAATTAAGCACACCTGGGCCAGCGGCCAGCCTCCAGTCTCCACCTCCTGGATTGTAGCTAGCTCCCAGGGATCTCCATTCTGCCCGATCCACATCCCAGATCCCTCACTAAGAAAAGCTCTTCACCCCATCCCCGAAAGGGATTTTCATTGCCAATGTTGCTTCTCAGCGGCATCAGCCTTGGAGCCCAGTTGCTGCTTAGAAGGTCTCAGACAAGGGAAAGTGCCCAAAAAGCCGTAGATGAGCACAGGAACAAGGGAAGAAGATCCTCCGCATCCCTATCCCAGAGACTCTGGGATGTCCTTGAGGAGGAGTAAGGGTCCCAGCCTCCAGACCTGTTGGCGAGCCCCTCCTTTTGTTCACCTGTCCCAGCCAGGGCGGAGACCCACTCGGGGTGTCTCTCCCAGTCCGACCGTGTGTGTCCCACTCCACTCCCACTCGGAGGACCCCGCCCCCAAACCTCCCGCTAGGGGCCAAGCCTGAAGCCCGCGGCAAGTGTTAATCCCCAGCCAAAGAGGGGGGCTGCTTTGCGGGAATTTGTCTCCAGGAAAGGATCTAAGCCTTCTTCAATCGGAGCATATGTTCATAGAGCAATAAACCGGAAAGATTTACAGTCCTCGCCCGGCCCCCAACAGCCTCACACCCTTTCAGGAATTACTTACGATGATTTATCACACCAACTCGGGCAATTGTCACACTGATAAAATAGCCCGGGCCGGTGCCCGCCAAGCCCAGGCCTTGGGAGGCTGTGGGCTGCCGGGCTGCCCGGCCAGGGAAGCTTTTTCTGGGTTTCTTTCTGGGCCTACAAGGGGATGTCTGGGTGCGTTGAAGTGGGTGGGGGTGGGAGGGGAGACCATTCTCATTGAGAAAAATGCAAGCAGCTCAGAGAAAGCACCCGGAATCTGCGCTGGAGTCACTTGCTAAGCACATAAACATTTGTCATCTTTGAATAATTGAATTAATGTGTTATTGTTTGAATGTATAATTCATAACGGAGGAAACTTTGTTTCTTTCCTGACGGGAAAATACACACACACCAAAAAAGAATGAAAACACATATAGTCCCAAAACAACCACCGCAGACAGCCAGTCCCAGCTTGCTGAAATCATCCTCAAAGCCAATGGAGGCATCTCAGGAGGAAAGGAGCCGAATAAAGAGACTGTTCTTTGGGACACACAGGTCAGAGCTGAGAGTTAGAGGAAGAGAACCTTTGCTGCTGCCCCCAGCCCAGGTCCTCAGCAAGCTGGGAGTGGGGTGTGGCGGAAGCAGAGGACTCCCAAATTTTGGAGTGCGGGTGGAAAAAAGAAGGCTGAAATGGGAGCAAGCGAAAGAGATGGCCTTTTGCAGTTCTCCCCTGCCTCCCCCGCATATCCCTTTCCTGGAGGAGCCCTTCTCGCCCGGCTCTCGCACTCAAGCTTTCTTTTGCTTTTATTTTAGATCTTAAAAAAAAAAAAAAGTAAAAATACAGGGAAAATAAGGAGAAACTCCTCTCTGGGAGAAGGAGCAGAGCTTGGGAGAGGAAAGGGGAGAGTGGGAGAAGCAACTCGGAAATCATTATCTGTTGGTTAAAACCTGCCTGGGGTAAAATTTCAACTCAATTTTATAGCCTTCTATTATGACGCAAAGAAAAATTTACGACCCTCGCTTGAAAAGAGGGCCGGGGCCTTTTCTCGCCGGTTTAAGAATAGGCGGCAGATGCCGTGACAGCGACCATTGTTCCCGGTAGACACAAGCGACCGGGCAACCTCAGCCCGCGTGCGCCAGGCGTGTCCCGAGCCAGGCCGGTTTTTTACAACTCTTGTTGTCTCGGAGCAGCCTGCGCGCACCCTCTCCCTCACCCCTCGCACCCTCGCCCTTTGCACACCCTCACATCCTCTCTCTCTCTCTCTCTCTCTCTCTCTCTCTCTCTCTCACACACACACACACACACACACACACACACACACTCGGCCGCTCTCAGTAATTTTTCATAAGTGCAAAGCTTTGCTGAACCAAGGGTCACTATCCAAGCCACAGACAACTTCTCGTCGGCGCGCGGTTCCAAATCAGGAAGCAAAGGGAACTATTTGTCAGCGGCCCTGACAGCTAAGTTCATTAAGGATTTAAATCTGATGAAATAAAAGTCGCCAAATATTTACCTGCCGGCCGCGCTCCCGCGCCCGCCGCCTGGGGCCGGGGGTGGAGGGCCGGGGGGCGCCGCGCGGGGCCCCCCTCAGCGGGTGATATTCTTGGGATCCCTGCACTTTCCAAGTCGGAGAGAGCCCTTTGCGTGGCAGATTAATGACGACTCCTTGTTTCTTAAGGGACGTGCTGAATTAATTATTTCGCCAATCACGTGGTCGGGACTTGTAGAAATCTATTCTTATCATCTTCCTTGCACTTTGAAAATTCTCCGGGTTATGAAAGGCCCTCCCCCGGCTGCCAGCGAGCCCCGGCCGCTCAGCCCGGCGCGGGGGGCAGGGAGGGCTCCCCAACATGGCGGGCGGGCGGGAAGCGCCTTCTGCTGAGGGTCCCGATTTACTGTACTGTACTCAGCGGGCTTGGCTATGGACTCGCTTCCTTCTCGTCCCTGCCGGTGATTCAATACACACAACGGTATTGATGTATTGGTGGGCATAGGAGGAGCCATTAACCAGAAGACGGGCAGAGGACAATCATAAAATGTGTCTGAATATTTAAACTTCTGTCTAAGCACTTATAAATACACATGTCCACGCGTCTGGAGCGAGTCCTTCCATATATTAAGGACACATGCCTGATTTTATGCATTCTATTCATTTCCTGTCTCTATTAAGACCCCCATCTATTTTGGGACTCCTGTCTTGGCCCCCTTATCAAGACCGAGGCCAAGATGAGGAAAAGCCCTGGCGATAAAAATAGTGCACAGTACTTTTTTTTTTTTTTAATAGTGGGAGTGTTTATTGTTGTCTGAGGGGTGGAGAGGTGCCGAGAAGGAGGGGCAGGTGCTGAAGGCCCCAGGTGGAGCTGAGCAGCACCAGAAAAGTAGAGGGAGCCCAGGATTGGAGGCCAGCTCGGTCAGATCAGAGGTGCTACAAGACAGCCTCAGCTCAGGTCAGCCCAGGACCAACACTCTCTCCCAGCTTCTGGACAGCTGGAAGTTTTCTTATACAAATTACAAAGGCTTCCTCTGAGGTCCTAGACTGAAGGGGTCTGGGGCTGGCTTGCACCAAGCAGAAAGCCAACATGGAGTCCCCTAATAGCCCAGTTACTTCTTTTCCTTTTAATAAATAATGCCCAACACCCTGCAACCTGAATTCAATCCCAGACTTTCCCATGCTCACAAAATAATGGTGGCCAAACTGGGAGTGTGTTTATACTAGGAGGGGGTAATAATAATTGCTAAGCCTTATACCCCTTAACAATCACACCTTAACACCAAGTAAATTGGTGCCATTTTTTTTTTTTACAGGAAATAATAAGTTGTTTATCTTGAATGTTAGCTTTTAAAAGACTTAAAGAATGCTTCTGTCGAGGCATCAAACAGGAGGGAGATTTTGCTACACCTTTTATTATTTCAAATATAGATCAATGGATTACATCAAAACTACAGGCAACAATTAGTATAAATAATACTTTAATCAGTGGCAGCAAAACATTGGTCAATTCTATTAAAAAAGCATCTCATGTGAACAGACTCCATGGGGCTGACTGACAATGTCATCTCACAACAAAGGCTGCAATGGACAAAGTGAGATGGGAGTCTGAGGAGCAGTGTCCTCAGCAAACACTTCACCTCCCCCTGTCATGACCCCAACACAGGTTTAAAAAAGTAACACCACAAAACCAAATACTACTGGCCCATATATGGGGGGAACAAACTGGAAATAAATAATAGCAAAAGGGTTCTGGAGCTTTCCACACAGAGCATATTCCCAGATGGAAACTGATTTCCTTCCCTGCCCTAGGTGGTTGGAGGGCCTTTCCCCTTTCCTGGCCCACTCCTGTGGGGCCCAAATGGATACTGAGGTCTGAGTGGGACATCAGGGTTGGGAGCTACCCTCTGGGTCATCCAGGCTCCATTAACATTTCAAAAGACAATCCCTGGAAGCTGAGAAGAAGAGCTGAGACTTATAAACAAAGAAGTTGTTTCTCTGATGAAATTACTTTCCAAAGTAGTGGGACTATGTTTAAGAAGAATCTGGGGTTTTCTTCAGGAAAACATGACTCTTGGCTTTCCTTTGAGACAGGGGAAAAGGCAGTTAAGCAGTGTGGCATTTGGTCTGAAGTTAGGTGAGTGACCAAAACTTTTTGGGAAAGGAAGATCTACATGATAATTCTCCATAATAGATTTGTAGTTAGATGTTGTGAAAATATATACTTTTTTACTTCTCCACAGGGGAAGGTTCTATGTATGCACAGATTAGGGTTTTAGGAAAGAATCTTAGCAACTCCTCAATTTGCCTAAGGATAGTGGCTCTTTTCAAATGCTACATCCAAAGACTGCTCTCTACGTTAAAGGGGGGGGGGGGGGAAGAAGGGTAGTTAGAGTCCAAAAGGTTAAGGGTTTAGAGGTCAGTCCTCCCGGCTGAAATACAGCTAATCGAATAGAAAATTTGTCCTCTGGATGAACCTGATTCTGTAATTTAGCCGAACTTCAGTAAAATACCTTTTCAGCCTCTCAACGTGGGGCATCAGAAAAAAAAGACGTCTTGACTATGTATGAACTCTGTGCTTTTTGTCATAGAAACAATGATGCGAATAATGCAGGAATATCCATCTTTAATATCCCGACGTGGCGATATTCAAGTATTGCCATGTGCAAGTCTGAGAGCCAGGCTCACCCCAAAGAGGAACAAAGAGCTATCCCTAGGGTCTAATACAAAAGACCAAGGCTTGGAAGACACTTTAGAGAAGCGGAATTTTAGCCTAGGGACCTCAGTGAATACCTGCCCTCAGCTCTCAGGAGACACAGCACCAAAGAACACGCCTCTTTTTCCCTCTTCACTTAAGTGTATTTTAAGAATTACTACTAAAAGCTAAAACATTCTAAAGTACTAGGGAAAAGTAACTTCATTATGGATCTTAATATTAAGTTTTTAGCTTACCCTTTCTGCTTTCCCACTTGGGTCACTTATAACTAGGGGTTTCTTTTTTGGAGGCTTTTGGCTTTTGAAGGCTTTGGGATTCAAACTTTTGAAAACTTGTTTCATTTGAGTATATGAACTCTGAACATTACCTTTGACTCTTTCTTACTTATCCTTAAGGGTCAACATTTTTAGAAAAATGAGCTTTAAATTCTTCCCAAACATGACATTTAAAAAAGTGACTAAAGAACATCTCTTCTGTGGTTCAAGACTGATTTTTTAAAAGCACTATTCTCAAGGCAAAGAAGAGGGTCTGTAAACTTTTGTACTTTTGCAATTTCTGCTTCTAATTAATGGATTGAGAAAAACTTCCTTAAGGTTTTTTTCCCCCTTAAATTAAAACTTCAGGGGGAAAACTCCCTAAGACCAACTTTTGTACACTTCTAGATTCAATTAGTTTCTTTCTTAAAGCAATACTTCCTCACCTACCCACTGTTCCCAACTGCACAAACCTCCACCATATAGGCCATAACACCAATTCCTATGAAATCCTGCTATGCAGGATTTGGGAGCTATTTGGAACCCAGTTGGAACAGAAAATTCAGTCATTATCTGATGGCCCAGGGCATAGAGGTTTTGTTTTCCTTCCCCAGAAGAAAAATGTTGAACCATTTGTTTCCCTCACCACCACCCCTTTCCTTTAATTACTCAGAACTGCTTATAAGCACTGTGCTGGAAAACAAACACATGTGGAAATATATTTTTCAAGAACTCAACTTCCAGTGGATCCTTTGCTTTTTCTAGAAGGGTTAAGGGTCCCCTATATTTCTTTCCAAGGAATGGGGAGGGAGTGGAGTTCCAAAGGCAGGTATCCGCCAGGAGTGAGTCCACACATATCTGTTCCAGCTCTCTGAAGCTCAGCCCCTTTGGCCATCTAAAGATTTTTGGCATGATGGTGTTAGTTATTTCTGTACCCATTTCCAACAAATAAATATTTAAGCAAATATAATCTAAACATAAAATAACCCGTTTCCTTTCCTTCTTACACTATTTCTTTGGGTATGGGACCATTGGGAGCAAAACACTTTCTTTTTTAATCACACTGGAAGTATGACAACCCAGAAAGTTCAGAAATCCTGGCCCAGCTTTCCTGCTCCCATTGAAAGCACCTAGCACAGGGGTGGCCAACCTTCTGCCTCAACTCCCCCACATTACTAAACCACAAAGCTCCCTGGAGGGGTGGAGTGGGGGAGGGTGTCCAAATTCATACTGGGATAAAGCATCCAACCTTCATTTGCAAAGTCAAAATCCAACAGCTGAGATTTTCATGAGTTTAATGACTCGCCAAGGTTTTATGTTCTCAGTAGCTCCTGCCATATAATATACGTAGAGAGAATCCCGCCCATCCCTCCCACCCCCTTCCCCACTCTAGGGAGGGGGCTGCCCTCGGGCGGGATGCTAACCTAGTCCGAGGGCGGCCTGCAAGTCCCAGGTCCACCCCACAGTACCTTAGAGCCCAGTGAGGTGACAGCAGGCCCGGCCTGCCCCCGCAGCTTCGGCTCAGCCTGGAGCGAAGGGAGGGTTGGGCCCAGAGTCCCCACTTCTATAAAGTCGTCAGGTCCGTGTGGTGGTCCTTGGTCATGGGCTGCAAATGCTGGCCTGGGGTGGCTGAGGAGGAGCAGGAGGAGGAAGAAGAAGAAGATGATGACCTGCCTTTGGTGTTGGGCAGCTTATGGTCTTTTTTCCACTTCATCCTCCGGTTCTGGAACCAGATCTTGATCTGGCGCTCCGAAAGACACAGGGTGTGAGCGATTTCAATCCGACGGCGCCGCGTCAGATACCTGTTAAAATGAAATTCCTTTTCCAGTTCTAGGACTTGCTGCCGGGTGTAGGCCGTCCGGGAACGCTTGGGCTCCCCGCCGGTGTAGTTGGGGTTCACTGCGAGACAAAAAACGGACAGGACAGCCAGGTCAGCGCCAGGCCACTAGTTAGGCCCCTGGCCTCTGCGGCTCACTTCCTGGAGCGCCCGAGGCCGAGGCCCTCCCGCGCGCGCTCCCAGGCTCCCGGCTTCCTCCCTCCTGTTCTCTCCCCGGCGCGCACACTCCCACCCACCGCCTCACACCCACTCACTCCCCCCAGCGCCTCACAAAATCCCCCCAAAATGCTCCCTTCTCCCTGCTCCATCAAGAGCTCCGGAATTCCTAAAACATTTTGGAAATGCCCTTCTCCACTGCGTTCCCTCTCCTCTGAAAATGGAGTCCTCCCCCACCCCACCCCATCCCCACCCCCTTTTGCTCCCACAGCTAAGCATCCAGCCACATGGTCCCGGCCTGCTCCCTCAGCTATAAAAATTTATGGAGAGAGTAATTGCAGCGCCCAAGGAAGCTCCACCCGTCCCCATCCACACACACCCTCTCCCGGGGGCCCAGGCCAATGGGCTGTGGTGGGGGCCGTGGGGACACTGGGCCCCTGCCTTACCCGAATTCACGTGCACCTTCTTCATCCAGGGGTAGACCACAGCAGGCTGTTTGAGTGCTGTCCCGGGGGGCGGCTGCTTGGGGCCGCCGGGCTGGCTGCAGGCCCGGGCGCCAGGCAGGGGTGCGGGCGGAGGCGCCGGGCACGGCTCTCCTGGGGCGCTGTAGTGACCACCAGGGCCGCTGGGTTCTTGTCCGTGACCCCGCGCAGGCAGTGCTGAGCCGGGACCGGAGCCGCCTCCTCCGAAGGGCTGCTCACCGAAGTCGGGACGCGGGTAGAGCCCCGGGGGCTGGAACTCGGCGCCCTGTGCGCTGCCGCTGCCGTAGTAGTCGGCGCCCTGCTCGCCTAGGTAGCCGCCCTGCAAATATTCCTCGCACGGAGGAAACTTGGGGTCCACATACTTAGAGTTCACCATATACGAACTCATGGCCATTAATTTCAGAAGGTAGAAAATACTAATTTTTCTCGTGTTGTCTTTTTTTCTCCTTCCATAGGGCCCTCCTACTTGCTGTCAACTGAATAAAGTTGGGCAGCCATGTGACCAGGCCAACCAATGGGGAGGGAGGGAGTTTATCACTGGGTTGGTGAGCATCTCATAATTTTCACAAATTTAACTAAATAACATACATGTAATCAAGTGACTTGCCATGCCACATTTGAGGGCCCCTGCCAGATGTTAATGTAGTTACAAATCCCCAGCACCCCTATCCCCAGCAGGTAATCTCAGCTTTTGTCTGCCACTGACTTTGCTAATCTTCTATGCCCTCTCTACTCACCCTCTCCTGAAAGCAGCTCCTCCAAAGTGGGCACAGTTCAAGGAAGAATGAATCCTTCTATTCAGATACAGGACAACGAAGTGTGGGTAGGCAAGGTGACCTCCGAGTTGGGCAAAATGTCCCAGGCAGGCAGATTGCCTGCCCAACCCGCAGGAGCCGGGACTCTGCCATACAAAGACTGAGTCGGGCTTTGTCTTCATCAGGGTCACCCAAAAGTTACCAGAATCCGGCAGGCCTGAATTAAGTTAGGCAATGAGTAACTGCCATGCTTTTCTACCAGTGCTCAGGGTGTGCTATTCCTAGCCAAAAAGTTGGGCCCTGCTGATAAGACAGGAGGTCCTCAATGCCCAGGTTCTTACAGCTGAAGGTTGTAGTGGGAAGGTGGCAAGGGGACCCTCACCTCACCCAAAAGCACCCCAGAAGTGACCACTATCCTTCCTCTCAGCTTGCTTTCTTCCCACATAGGGCTCTAAAAGCCACCGAGTCTCTATTTGGGTACCTACATCTCTTTTCCCTGGAGGAGAGAGCAGGGACTAGAGCCAGCTGGCCATTCACTTTACTCCTCAATACTCCAAAACCTAGCCCTCTAGCCCTGCATTTGTACAACCAATCAGGGTTTCTTTCTGTAGCAATATCCACCGGAGTCTCCATTTAAAGGTGAGGAACTTCTTGAGGAAAAGCCTGCATGATATCACCAGGCACAGTCCATCCTCCTGGAGTCTAAGGTAATGAAACAGAAAAAGGGAGCCGACCCATACCAGCTGCTTCCGTCTTTGGTCTTTGGCTATTTCAGAGAAACTTGAAGTTTTTGCATCGACCATATATTCCCCTAGAATCGAATCTGTGACTATGTGGATACCACACAAATTCGGTTCTACAGGGTATATATAGACAACGTTACAACCTCGGGTCCTACCCAGGGAGAAACTCAGACGGCTGCCAGCTCTGGCCTCTTCCTCTGCATCACCACCAGCCCAATGCAGCCACCAGCATTTTCGGAGACAATTTAAGTAGACTGACAGGTTTGGTGGCAATTTGCAGCAACCAGTTCCTTAATTCTTTGCCAGGGATGGGGTTATTGAGCAACAAGAAACCAGGACATTCTTCTTTAAAAAAAGAAAGAAAAGAAGAAAAAGATAAAGCATCCTAGAGATGGCGGCTTTATTACCCCCTCATGGGATCCAAAATACCCTTCTACTTCCTCATCAAGTGATATTTTCCAGAAAGGAGTAAATGCCCTCAGCAGCAAAAGCAAAAGAGGCAAGAAGGAAATATCTCTTGCCTGTTCCTTCCCCCACTGCTTGGCTAATTCAGGTTGGTGGCCAAGCTAATTGTCCCAGAAGCCACACATTTACCTTCCTGGGCCCTCAGCCCGGCTGGCCTCTCCGTCCCTGCTGCTCCTGCAGACCCCAAGGCAAGGCGCTGCTCACAGGCACCGAGCTGACCTGAGCTGAGGCCGGAGTGCTAATGGTGAAGGGTAGGGTGAGGGGTCATTCAAAATCATTTACAAACATATCACAAAGTTTCATTATTTTTGCTTTGCCGACAGCAGCACACAAGAGTACAAAAGTTCACGAATTTTGCCCGCCCCAGCGCCTCTGTGCTGTCCGGGGCTTGCCCCTCAGTTCAGGGCATCAGGAACGAAGACACATTTAGAAGCCAGGCAGAGTTCAGAGACAGAGAGATTTCCTGGCTTGAATGAGGTTTTTAGATGCATGATAGTAGGCCAAGGGTATCCAAATTTTTAATATTGTTTTGATCCACCCCACCTATAATTCAAAAATTAGTTTTTCAGTCTCAGACCTGGGTCTGTGGGGCAGGGATACCCCCACCCCCATCATGCCTGGCAAATTCGGCTGCTTACTTCTATTCTGCACTTGGTACATGCACAACTGCCTCCAACTCTTTGGTTCTACTGCTTTAGTTACTTTACAGGAATTTCCTCTGTGTCTCTTTTAACAAGGGCTTTAAGGCTACTGAATCTCTTTGTCCCAAGAGAGTATCACCAATTTCCCCTAATACCAAGTGCTTTCCTCTACCTGGCTTCCTAGAATAGTGGGCCTACCTAGGTATTGCCCAGGCAAATTGGGGGAGTCTGATGAGGTGGGTGAGGACTTGGGCCAGCGTACACATTTTCATATTTGTTAGACGCTGTGACCTGCATTTCACCTTATTGCTCGACTTGTTCAGACAGGTCAAAGCCAACGAGTTATTGATGAACAAAAGCGTTAAATATTCACCTCTCGCTCAACTGCCCATACTAATGCTTTTGATCTCTCGGGCTTTTTGTGCTGTGTTCAGCTACCAGGCACCAAATGTGAGTTTGAAAGTGAGCAGCATTGGCAGAGATAAGCACCTAGAACCAGGGCAGCAGGAGAAGGGCGGCAAGACCAGGAGGTTCTGAGGACACTCTCAGCCTGGAGCCCAGTGCCCTATTTTACTTGAGCCAGACTGGGTCAGAGAGGAACTAGGTGAAGTGCTGGGTAGATCTCAACATCTCAGGGTGAGCACAGCCCCAGGGAGTCAACTACTACCCAGCTTAGCAGGGCAAAGAAACTCAGCCCTGAGACCAGCACTAGTTTCTCCAACCATGAATAGAGGATGCCTGGTTCCTGCAGTCCTAGCGCATCCCATTTTCCATTATAAGAAAATCACCTCCGTTTTGCAGTGAGGGAGGGGTCATTATTGTTTTCTTGACCCTCCCACCACTACCACAATCTTAATGAGATGGTCCTCCTGGAGACTCCACAGACCTCCTCAGAAGTGTACCTGTCTTTCATATCCCAGGCAGCTCAGAGAGATCCAGACTTCCGAACCAAGGAACCCAAGAGTCTCTGGCCCCACTCCACCCCACCCCTACTGTTTCCTTAGGGCACCAGCAACTCTGGCCCAGAAATTCTTAAACTGCTGTTATAGAAAAGCAGAGGTGAACAAGAGGAATCTGTACTCTCCTCACCCAGCTTGTGTCGGAAACCCAGAGCCCACACTGCTCAAGTTGGAGCAGGGGGAGGGGGTGGGAGAAGGATGTCCGTGTAAAGCTCCAAATTCTCAGCCCTTCCCGGAAGCGGGCCAGCTGAAAACACGCCAGCCCATTGAGGGTTTTTTGTTTGTTTGTTTGTTTTTAATTAATGTATTTAAATGGAGGGGGCAGGAGAAGTCTGGGCGAGATTGGGCCAGATTAAGCTAGACTGGGCTGAGGAGGGGGATCACTTGCTGTTTACTGTGTTGTTGGAGCTGGAGGGGATGCTCCCCGCTACTTAATAGGGTGGGCTGCTAATTAGCTGCATGCTTCTTGACCCAAGCGACCGCTCCAGCGGAGCTGCACCTGTGCGAGAGGCGAAGCCTGAGAAGGCCGGGAAGAGCCAGGGAGGCCCAAAGAGACCAGGGCGAGACCCCGCGGCAAGTTCCCTTAGGCAGGTGACTGTGAACTAGGCCCCGGAAAAGCTGCCCAGGAGCTCAACTTGGAACCTCCACCTCCCAAAGCGAGCTCTTCTCCACCGGCCAGGCCCGGGGAGGCAGGGCCGTTCTTCCACCCGCCCACTGAGCTGGCCCTTCACCCACCATCTCCCAGGATCAGGACCGCCTCTTCGCAATTCGGAAGAAACGGGAAGGTACTTACAGCGGCGCTTTCTCAGGGTCCTGAACCTGTTGCAATGAAAACGGAGCTCACTTAAATTCCACAGAATAATAAAAAAAGAAATAGATGACACAGAAGAATGACAAGGCCCAGACCGCCTCACCCCAGGCCATACCCAGACCTTCCTGCTTTGGGCGCGGGTCCCTGGGAATTGCGCAAAGTTCTCCTCGGACCGCAGCGCCCAAGGGCAGACCCACAGAGAACAGGAGAGTTTGGTCCCCACCACCTCCCCCACTCCCCGCACCCTTGGGCAAAACCCTACTGGTTGTTTGGCCCGCCTCAGACTGTCTTTAACAGGGTTTCCGCAGTGGGAAATCGGGAAGCGAGGAGAAAATGGGCCTTTGTGTCTTGCCTTCAGCATAAACAGCCGGGTGGGTGCAGGTCTACAGGAGGGGATGACCGGTCCATCTGTCCCCTAACCCAGCTCCCCTTCTCTCTCTCTCTCTCTCTCTCTCTGGAAGTAATTCAGCTTTCTTTTCTAGTTTCAGATCCGTTTCAAATTCCTCAACCCCAACCAGTGACCCTCCCAAACCTGCCTTCTCTTCCTCCCTAAAAAAAGGATCAGGCATAACTGGGACTTGCCTTTTCTCTTCTTCTCCAATCTAACACAAAGAGCAATTTCCAGGGGAAATGAAGACCCAAATGATAATCAGGGAGGAAGAAAATCAATGGGTTTAAAGGTAAATGGCAATTCTTTAGATTGTTACCTAGCTCTCTGGGTATGACATCAATGTTTCAGAATTGCTGCTGGAGAACCCACAAACCATCTTACAAAGCAGCGGTCCTTTCAGGGATTGGTGTTCAGCTTTAAGTATTTAGTCTTTTCCAGTTTTATTCTAGGATAGCAATCTTCTCTGAGAAATCTGAGGGGCAAAGCCCACACTCATTTTCTCTCCCCACCCAGAATACCACTGTTTTACTCCACTTATGAAGTAGATGCTCCATCTTGGGGAGGGGAAAGGCAGTAAGTTCCCCTTGTGAGTTAGAAGCCTTCAATTCCTAACTTTCCATGTTCAGAAGAGAAGGAAAGAAAACTTAGATTCCCATTCTATATGTCAATTTAGGGTTTAGGCTTAAATTAGAATTAACTTCAATGAGACTCCCTAAGCAGCAAAGTCAGGGCAGAGCAATCCTCCCCCCACCTCCAGTTGTTGTGGAAAAAGTAAGTGACTTACTGTTTTTCTTTCCTAGTGGGCAGGGGAACTGGGAGTAGAACTGTCTCCTTCTGAGCCCGGCGCTGGCTGGAGCCTCTCACTTTCCTATCGCTGC